TGTCCCAAACTCAGGTAAGGGTGGTTGGCAAAGACTGAGATGTTGAAAGGGAGGGAAAAAGCTTAATTAAAATCTTAATAGAGGTTAAACCTTCCGAACAACTCGAGCCAAGGATTGCACTTTCCTGGGTGATAATCCATAGAAGTTTGGCACTTTTTGTATTATTTTTAATTACGTTTTAAAATGAAACTTACGATTATGTTAATAGTTTAAGCTTGTACCAATAATTTGTTTTGCAAAAATAATAATAATGATGTTTAAGTAAAATATAAATTATTTAATTTACTTTAGCCTATACCATTGATTTTAATTTTATGTGTTAAAGTTTGATTCTTTGTAGTAGTGTATGTAAAATATTAATATATCAATATAAAATTTTTTTGACCAAACATAAAGCTTAGGTTTCTTCGTAAATGTTGTGATCCTGCTCAAATCGCCAAACATATTAACAATTTTTTGTTGTTGCAAAGATAGCATATTCTAACCGGGATTAATTTAAGAATAAAATTATTACATAGGCCTATACAATGTTTTACCCTGTAAAAGCAACATTTCACCACTAATCTTAATACCAACTACTACTGCTGAAGTCTTATCAGTAATTAAATAACTAAAACCCAAGTTGTTATGTGGAATGGACGACATTCCATCAAAAGCTGTGAAACACTATTCTATAGAGGTGGCCACTCCATTGGTCAACATCATCAACAAATCATTCCATCTGGGAAGGTTTCCATTTGCCTTGAAAAAGCAAAAACAATATAGTACATACATGAGTTTGAAGGGAAAACTATGACTGGAAAAGAAGTGTAGTCGAATGAAAAAAAAAATAAAAGAGGACAAATTAAAAAGGATTGTTTCTAGTTTTAGTGAGAGGATAAACAAAACATAACGAGGCTCTCTCACTAAAACTAGAAAGAATCCTTTTTAATTTGTCCTCTTTTATTTTTTTTTTCATTCGACTACACTTCTTTTCCAGTCATAGTTTTCCCCTCAAACTCATGTCCGTACTATATTATTTGCAGATTTTTGTGTCCAACATTTCTACAACAAAACTCTTGGAAATGTAACTTAAGTGAAAATACTTTTACTAACATTACCCGAAATATAGATCTACATGCAAAAAAAGATTTAGATATTTTAAAACAGATACAACTAAAAGTAAATACTAAAAATGATTAAACCGCCACATCATACACCTAGTTATCATAATGATTGATTTGCCGTGGCAGCCATGCAAATAGACTAACAACGTAGTTAGGTTGAAGCCAATCATCATATTAATTGATCATCAAAGCATTAAAACGACAATTTACCTTCAACTGACAAATTACAAAATATTGCGACTGGTGATTGCGGCTAATGCACACATGAGCAAAGAGCGTAAACAGTGAAGATGCGATTTTCAGCTGATTAGGTAGCCAGTGAAGAGATAACAACGACTCGTATCATTACGGAGGAGATCAATCTGCCAAAACAACACGACTGTCATCCCATTCCCACCGATAACGCGGCCCGACACTCACGATAACTCAGACCCAATAACATTCTGTTTATCAAGACCATTCAGAGGTTTGCATGGAGTTATAGAAATTAAATAAAGTAACAGGAGCAATTGCCAATTCGTCACCTTGTGGTTGCTGTTGGCTGATTAAATCAATATATTAAAAAGATTAGTATGAAACTAAAATTATTTATATTAAACTATGTATTTTATAGTTTTGGAGGCAACACGATTCACGCATGGGCGGTTAGTTTATGTGGACGGGCAAATGTAAGATTAAAGGCCGCCAACCTCTAAAAAAAAAAAACAGTAGGCCTATTTGGATAGGAGATTTTTTACCTTGGATAGCTTTAGGGTTGATAAGTTTACTAAGTCATGTACATTAATATAACATTACACATTAGGAACTTTTATTCTTAGGTAGGTAGTTAATTTATTAGTTTATTTTAGTTGAATTATCATAGTCTTTCTTAATTTTATAATGCTTTCTAAAGAAAGGTGAATATTTAACAGTTAAAGATTTGGACTGAAAAGGCAAAACACCAAAATCAGTCTAGAATATTGTCCTTATATCACTTTTATAAAAAAATACATTACATTGTCATTATGAATGAATGAAATTAAATGAATATTATAAATCCTACACTTAAGTGTCAAAATTAAAGCTTTTTTATATAGGAGTTAAAATTGCATTTCAATTAATTCCGAAAAGGCTAAAACTTGTTTTTTGTTTTGATCCATAGAGCCAATAAAATCAGTCACGATTTCACGTTTCACAGAAAGATTAAGCTGCAGCCCCCCCCCCCCCCCAATACCACAGAATTATTCCTCATATCCACCGTGCCATCTGTTGTTTCATATTAAAGTTTGAATAACTCCGGATAATCAATATCTATTGTATTTCCCACCTAACAGTATTGTTTAGCATGAACAAACGCAAATACGCTGAATGTTTTCCATCAAATCATTACATTACGGCAGACGAATCGTGTAGAACAATGTCATCAGCCAATCACCAATCACAGAGATCGTACTGACCAGACCATTGGACATAATTAGATGGTATATTCCATCTCGTTGAATTCATACTACCTCGTTATGACCATGTGATTCAAAAGTAATTTTGTACGGAATAATTATTTAATCTGGTTATATTTTGGTTCTATTAGATTTAAATGTATTTTTAAACATCTAGTCCACAGTTTCTTCAAAACAGTATTGAGTTATTGGTTGACCAATTAATTTACAATTTTTACATTAAAAAAATGTCTCTTCAAAACAGCATTGAATGTTGGTTGGCCATATTTACAAGTTTTCATAAGTTTTATAGAGAAAAAACTGTCAATGCTAATGTTATCTTAAAGACACATTATGTTATAAAAATGTGGTGTCTACCCATCTTTACAGCATGAAAAAAATACTGAGCAAATTTAGATTAAGTTTAACCTTTGTTTAACTCAAAGACGGCTACTAAATCTAGCTGTGTCTACGCCGTGTTCCAGTTTTGACGGATACGGGTCTGCCGAGGAACTCAAAAACCTGAGAAGGGTACATGGAAGGGTAAATATATTCTACCATAGACAAAAAGAATTAAATATAGACCGTCAGCCGTGCTGCGGTTACCATAGGTTCTGGCGCACACCGCTGGAAGCGCCATGTACTTGCGGCGTGAGCGCTACAAAACTACACGGCGCTAGAACCTATGGTAACCATGGTAACCGCAGCATGGCTGACAGTCTTTAATTCTTTTTGTTTATGATTCTACTTAGCAACAAAATTATTTACAAAGTTTAGTATTACTATTTTAGCACTTACTCTGTTTACATGTTTAGTAGTTGTATAATTTATTATTGATAACAGAAACTAAAAAAACTTTTTAAGAAAAAATTTTTAAGTGATAATATTTTAATTCTTTGATATTCTAATAATGATGTCGCCATTCTTTAACTAAACAACTTTCACAACGTTCCTGAGATAAAATCTCATAGATAATGCCAATTTTCTACAAGAAATCACTATGTTTAGTCAATCAAATAGAACCTTTTGTTACATAATTACTTTATGTGTTTTAGCAGCGACTTATTTGCTAAATGTGGGAAGTGAATTTCAGAAATGCATGTACCTCCCAAGAGGATATTAATGTTTCATCTAAAGGGTACAAAAGGTCACACTTAAGGAAACATAAATCTTATGTAAAGCTGCTTTTGAAAGGTCTCTACCTCTCCCCTTCTTTATTATTAAAAGGGTAGGTCGGCTAATGTCATTTTCATCAGCCTTTGTAAGTCTAAGCTAAGCAGTGAATTAAAGAATGGAAAGGAAATTCCATGCATTTTTGGCGGATTAAAGCATAATGGTCATGTAAATTATTATAGTTATGAGGATAAATATTGGTTATAAAAAAATAAAAATATTTGAACTGAAAAATAAAAAGGTTGTTTTTTTATACAATAGATTAACTATATTTAAAAAAAATTCGGAAAAAAGACTTTTCCAAGAGATGTTACGCCACCGGGATACTATGTTATCCATAATAATAAACCAGTTTAAATAATATAAAATATTTTTTACACAAAACCAATTAAAAAAAATACTTATTTGTACGTAAATTTTACTATCTGAATCAGAGAACCAAAATAATTTAAGTGTTAATAAAATTATTGGTACAGGGAAATCTCACTAACTCGACAGTCAACAGCTGACAGGTACAACTCTAGATGGCTTTGTCGCTGTTGCGTCCGATTTTTCAAGTTTTTAATTGTTGAATATTTTACATTTCTTTGAAGATTGTTTATTCAATATGTAAAAATACTCATGTAAACATTTTGTCTGTTATGTATTTATTTATTAAAAAACATTAAAAAATGTTAATGTTCTGGATAACTTTACAACCCCCAAACTCGACAACCTCTGGATCAACAAATTATCGAGTTAGTGATATTTTACTGTACACGAACATTATACGGCTCTGGATAGCTGAGTAGTTATAGTGCTTGCATAACTGCCAGTACAATCTAGAGAAATGTCAGTAGTTTTTCGGTGGATTGAACCTAGTACCCTATCGTCCCTGATATACCGCTGCCTTTCATCATACACTAACCAACACAAGTAGACTTCTAATCCCATTGTAAAATTTGAAGATTCTTTTTCATGTTGGTGATGCTGAGCGCTAGTGTCGACAATTTTTTTTTCTTTTTTATGGTTCATTTTATGATTTGTGTTTTTAGGGCTAGAAGGGATAGAAAACTAGATTAAGAGCTATTGTTAATAATTAGATAGTTTAACTTTTTAAACTTATATATAGGAATAGGTAATTGAAAAAAAAACTAGAAACAAATTGTAATTAAAAAACTTGTCCCTTGAGGCACTGGACGGAACCAACATTAAAATTGTTTTCAGGTGATTCATAAGTATTATATACCGTCATAGGGAGAATGTTTAATCTATGCTATCATCAAAATTCAGAAATGACTATGGTAACTAAAGTTTTATCACCTACCTCAGGTAACGTTCGTCGAGCTAGCCACCCGATGTGGTGCAGCTCGATAGCCAGTGATGCCAGGATGCGGTTGGCCTCGTGGAGCGCTCGCGTCGTAAGGACGTGTAGAGCGGAATGTAGAGCGTTGAACCAAACTGCGGCCTCCTGGCTGTCTGCGGCCCGCAGCACACAGCTGTGGACACCATCAGGCGAGTGGAGCTCTAGTGTGCGGTTCTCTGAAAAAAATATTATGACTAATTGAGATGGCAACTGGAGGTTTTTAACTTTATTATAAGTGAAGGATGGATTGGGATGCCTTGTGTAGCTTTGTTAGATACTAAGTCTTCTTATGTCTTTGGCCAAGAGTAGGACAATTTTTTAAAGGCCCATCTAATGATCTAAGGGCAGTTGAGTCTAGGAACTATGAACAAATTCCTTAAGATTCTCAGAGTCAAATTGGTAATAAAATATAATGTTGTACAAAAATAATGATGTAGAAACATTTTTTTTACATTTTTTGTCATAAAATAAATTTGATAGTGGGCGTTTTTCACTTTTGTCTACATAAGGCACCTTTTCATTACATTTATTTCCATTCATATATAACGTAGGGCTAGAATCAGAGGACTAGTAGAATTTTAAAACAGATTTTTGTATTTGGCTGTAGAAAACCAAACATTAGAACAAGATTTGCAATCAACAAAAGGGCGAAGAGCATAGGCCTACTTGCAGTATCCAAAATCAATATATGTATATATACAGTAAAATAAAAATTATTTTGGGGCTAATTGTTGTTTCTAACATGTTCAGGTATGCAAGGAGATCAGTGGTTGAAACTAATTACACTACACTACTGTATAGTAGTGGCAATTGGCTCTAATCTCCAAGGATCTGGTTCTAAGCCCAGGTACCTTGGAGGTTTTAAGTGTGATCAACACTTTAGTAAACACTAATAACCACCACTAAACAATGTAATACAACTATCAAAACTCCAATACATTTTTTTTCTCATTCTTACTTGAGAAAAAAATTTGTTTTGACGATGAAAAGATATACCTTAATTTACAAGATCTAACATAAAACTAGCGGATGAAGTAGCTTGAATTGAATTGAATTGAACAAGTCAATTAATTTGTTTTGAGAGCTGAACAATAATTTGTTTGTAATGGTCAACGATGAATGGAGAAATTATTTATCAGTACTGGTATCATAACAGAAGTTTGGTTGCCACTGGATATAATTGTTTATAGTTGTTTGAGAAAAGATTAAAGTTTGACATGTTTCTTCTCTTATCTTGTAAGCACATTTAATAAGACACTAGAGGTCGTCCCGTGGTTGAAAACTCGACAAAAAATATCTAATGTTCAGACTTCTCTATTTACATACCACGCTGTAAATACAACATGTGATTGGAATTTCTTCCATTTGTTTAGATTTTCTGTTTATAATTCGTTGTTATTTCGTCGCCAGATAGCAACCCATAAGGCCCATGTTAATTTTTTAAATTCATTTTTTGTGCTTATTTCTGAGCTTATTTTAATTTATAAAGGGACTGTTTACAACAGCTAATTTTTACTCCCTAGAGACTAAAAATTATTTTTACTCCCTAGAGAGTAAAAATGCTACTTTAGACCTGCAACGCAGACATTAAACACGGCTGTTTTGCTGCAGTATGACGAAAAAATATTTTTGTGGATTAGAGCATTTTTGTTATACTGTACTGTATATGATTAGTATCTGGGACAAAATATGATATTTAGAAGTCATTTGCAGCTTAGATTTTTTTAAATTGAACAACCTTTATTTATTTATTTCATATATTGATGTTAACAACAACTTGTAGTATTTTTACTTTCTCCCCCTACACCATTGAATATGGGGAAAGTATTGTTTTCATCAACATTTTTGATTAAAATAGGAATGTTATGGTGCTTATAGTTTCGAAAATAGTGCAACTACCCATTGCTGTAAAATTGTGCTTCAAAAGTTATTCCAACTTTTGTGATTTTCCCTATAAAATGTTATGGTTACTCCTACCCCTTACCCATGATAAAGGTTGTTGACAAGCTAATGGGAGAAAGTATGTGTCAGATTGCTGATACCATTAATTTGACAATGTAATAGGGTAAGCCCCACTTGTATGGTAAATAAATACTCTAACTAAAATATTCACTTTGATCCAAGAATTTAATTAAAATTCACAACACTTATTGACGAAATAGTTTTTGTTTAATGATTTTTGGCTTCTTTGTTATCATACATAACTTCACGAAAATTGTATACCGAATTTTAAATAACCCAACATTTTTAAATAAGGTTGGGCAGTGAAACCAAGTGACTGCAGCATACAGTTCAAAGACAAACAACTTAATGCTGAATGTTTTTTTGGTCTGTGGTTGCTTTAAATATGAAGGCTTTATCACAGTCTAAACCATATTGCGGTTTAATACATTTTATACAGTCTTATGGAGTACGCCACTTCAGTCTTAACAGTTTATCAAACCTCCAGATAAGGATTGCCTGGAGCCAAGCCTCACCACCCAAGTATAAATTCAATTAACAAGTTAATGAAAGTGGAGACAGCCTCGGTCTTGGTTAATTAGAATTTAGCTAATAAGATGGGTGAGGAAAACACAAAATATATCACCTTTGTTAAATTGAGAGTACCCCTATCGCAGCAAACCTGCAGACTAAGTGAATTTCAATTTACAAGGCTTGATTTCTTTTAAAGTATTACCTTGAAATTGACAGATTTATTTACTATTAATAACATTAATCGTAATGAGTTACTTAGGTTTACAAAAACATTTCAATATACTAAATTATTTTTTTAGTTCTACAAAATGGTTTGGAAAAAATTTTCAAAATTTCATTCTTTTAGGGTGAAAAATTAAAAAAAAATAATTTTATCCCATAAACCCCCACTCCCATTGTCCGATTATGCTGGTTCGCAAACTCATTTGAATAAACACAGATTTACAATTTACCAAATTTCATATAAATCAAATGTGATAATTTTTTTTGTTATTGTGCTAATGGACGTACATGTATATAAATATATTTATTAGTGACTTAATATTTAAAATGAATTTGAACGGATTGGGTTTTTAGCCTATGGGGACCTCAAAACATCAAACAAATCGGTCCTGGGTCCAGGTCTTACCATGAGAACTATGGAATAGCTTATTCCCTATATGGGAAATTTGATAATACTAAAAAACTATCTAGTACACCTGATTATCAATTTTCAAAGATTACAGCTAGTGAAAAAATTCTGGGTTAAAAGTATTGATTTTATCAACCAAGTATTAAACAAATAAGTATTAATGCTACTTGCTACAGAAACAGTAACACAAATGATTATAAAATTTACATTTACAAATCTTAGCATGATTGGGCCATTATTTTTGTGTATACATATCTATATAACAAGAAAGGACTACATAAATCTAATATTTTTAGACGGCTTGTGCAATCACCCAGACATATAATCATAATATGTGTTTGGTTACATGATAAATGTGTGTGTATTTTGTCCTACCTTTTTATTTTCAATAAACTCAGGTATGATAATCATAATCATGAGGTAATGATTAAAATATTATAAATGCATGTTGTACGAAAATTAATATTGTATTCAATTTTTGTTCACTGTGAGGTTATTTAAACCAAATAAAAGATAAGATTATTAATCCTTTACATTCAAGATCAAGCTGTAACAAAACTGGATTTAATTAGTTTGTATTGATTTAGTTTGATTGGTTCAGAATTGATATAGTTAGATTAGTTTGTATTATGCTGAAATTAATTACATTTGATTACATTCCTCGTAAACTTTTCTTCCACAAATTTTATAACGAATATTCAAACTTTATTTGTGAGGGTAACAAAAATCAGATAATATCATACTTTTATAGTTTTTCACCTATTAAATTTCAATTGTTATTGAGTTGGAAAATAATTAGAAAGCTGGGAAACAGTACAAGCAATTTCTAAGCCGTTTAAAATAATCACATTGGCAAATTCAACAATTCTACCGTATCTATCTTTGAGCATATAAACTTTGTAAATTTACATATAACAAAATCAACAAATCTATCAAAACCTATTCAACTACTATACAAAAATATTGTCCGGAAAAGTATTAAAACTTTGGAGCAGATTCAGCCCTATTAATATTTTATAGCTTCAAAGTCCCTAGACAAATGTTTATAAACGTTGCCGTAGGAACGGGCTGAGTTGGAATCGGTGGCTCCAGTCATTGTGTTCTCCGCCAACTCTTAAACACTTTGCAACTTAGATTGTATTTGTTCTCAACTCTGTATCACCAATAATCTTCATCTTGTATCTTCCCAGAGATCAGCCGAGCTGGGAGAAATGTTTTCATTCTTTTGTTGGCTTTCATACTTTCAGAGAATTGCTCTTTTTTAACATCGTCGTAATAATCTTTATTGTCAAGATTGAGGGTTATTGTTTACTGTTTGGATACTATTGTTATTGTTTGGATTAAATATATAACTTAATCAAAAAATGTACGGTACTACAGTGATATTTTCATGTTTGGCTATTGTACTTGACAGGTTTTCTATCTTATATATTTAAAAACGTTTGCAAAACTTATAACAACAGAATCCCTTTATAAACTAAAATAGGCTTGAAAATAATCACAAAAAATTAATTTTAAATTAAAAAAAATAACATGGGTCTTATGGGTTGCTATGTTGAAGACGAAATAACAACAGAATATAAACAGAAAATCAAAACAAATGGAAACAATTCCAATCACACGTTTTCTTTAAAGCTTGGGGTGAAAATAGAGGAGTCATATTTTTTATGTAATATTATTATTAATTATATATTTTCATTTTGGTCCAATTTTCGAACAGTGGACGACCTCTAGTATTAATTTAATTTGAAATACTTCACAAATAATTACAACTAACCCCCAGAACAAGAGAGCATAGGCTGAAAACCACAAACAGTTTCAACATTCAAAACAGCTGACAAAGCAGACTTCAGAGGGGGAAATCTAAATGTCTAAATGAAAAACCAGGGAATGCTGATGGAGAGATACGTTTCATGCCTGATAAGCGACAATGATTGTATTAGTTACATTGTCACAGGTAACATTGACGTCTGACTGCGCTCGTCTCACCGGACTCACAATATAGAAAAATTATTCAACAATTGTGACACAAGGAAAGATTAGTGACGTTTTATTACCAATAAACTCAGT